AAATTGTTTTTGTTGTGCTTTCTGTAGTGTTGGATAGCGTTGGGAGGCGTTGAGATTCTTATAAAAACATAATTTTAAACAAACTTTGAAACGCAATGCTTTTTAGTTGATTAGTCACCAAAAGTTTTTATATATTATTACTATAAAACAATTTTAAAACATATATATATATTTATTATGGTATTATTTACTATATTATGTGTTTCTTTTGAGAGATAATATTCTTATAATATCCAACATAACTGCTGGGTGTGTGCCGTCTGCAATCAGGACCTTTACAATGGCAGAATTTGATGATCCCTTGGAGTCGTGTCCCGGGAGGGAGGGTGGACCAGAAGGACCAAAGCTTGGAATCTTCACCCTTACTCCAGCGGGCGTGCGGGCTTTGCTAGGCCGCAAGCGTGTTCGATCAAGACCCCTGCTCAAACTGACATGTTGTGGTTGCGGCCGTAGCTCTTGGGACAACTGTCGCTTCGTGCCCACCGATCTGATAGAGTGGGTCCCTCAGTGCATGACTACTTGCAAGCTGCTGCTGAGATTGAACGTAGTTTTTTTTAGATTGCAACATGATTCATTATTGATTGTCGTCAGGTGGGCTTTGCCCTACTACCGCTTAACAAAACGGATGAAAGAAATGGGGCTGACAGAGGAACAACCATCAGGACCAATGCTTACTGCTTTACTGTCTGAGTCTGATTGGGTTATCAATTATATGATACTACGAGAATTGACCGTTTGCGTAGGCGACCTTTGCAATGATTGCCACAACTGTGCACGAAGAGCATTTCCAAATATGACGCGGGTTCAGGTGGTGGAGAGCTTATTTTTTGCGACGTACTGAATTGTTTTTGTTTTTTTGCATAAGGATTTCGCAATCAGACTAACTGTTCTCACGCTATGAACAAAAGCTCGAGGTGGCGGCCTTGAAGGACGATACCAAGACAGACTTTCAAGAGAATTGGACATCAAGCAACTCGTCACAAGACACTATGAAACAACAACTATTGTCAAACTACTATTAGGCTGCTTGAATCTAAAGCAAACAACAAAACTACATCATATCATATTGATCTTTGTGCCGCTGCAAACGAGGCTTGACAAACTACGTTCAAGAGATTGAAGATCGGATCAACACGGGGGCTACCAGGGTCAAGAAATGTACCAAGTCCGTGGACAAGACAACTGGTCAGAAATGCAAGGTATCCATTCCAGGTGTCTTTGTGGACTTGAATGTGTACAAGCAAGACTTTGGAGATCCAGCTGAGAGGAAACATAAGGTTTGCGATATCATCGATCCGGAGACCGGGAAGATGAAGAAAGCAGCCTTCATTCCCAAGAGAAAGGCAGGGTACTTTGAGGGCGAATTGGCAACGACACAGAAGCTTCAGAAAAAGGAGGTTCTGGATTGCGATCTCAATGCTCTCCGCTCTGGCCAAGTAGACGAATCTTTTGACCAACACATGGAGAGCTTTGCAAAGTCAGCACCCAAAGTGTTGCCGGATGCAGAAACCTTTGAACAATGCACACAGCCTCGCATTGAAGTGAATGATCATGAAGAGGACTGATTATCCAAGCTGATGTTTGTGAGTATCATGTTCTAAGGTTCTATGAGTTCTATTCTTTGCATGTGTTTCTATTTGCTTTTTAATTATAACTAGTACTTTTGTCATATGTGTACGACTTGGTTTGTCATTGCCAACTATCAATCAGTTGTTGTCAGGAAGCTATCAATTCACTTCGCCCAAGCTCCAAGAAAGAAGACAACGATGATGAGGCCAAGGGCGAAGAGATTGATGAGTCTGAGTGCATCGAGTTGATGGTGGCCATGCAGCAACGCGAAGACAGTCAACCCAATTCAAGTGATAGTTTGACTCACGATGCTTTGCGCACCCACGATGCCGTTCACAGTGCGAAGCGTGTTGCAGGCAAACGCAATGATTTTCCATCATCAACAAAGAGGCGGATTGCGCAACCAAACCAGGCTGATGAAGCAGTGGCTGCTGGTCATGGAGCTTCATCCTCTGCATCCCAATCAGGCAGAGCTCTTGGCGTTGGGCCAAGGAGTGTTGTTTTATCCACTGCGGCCAAACCTGCCCCTACGGCTCCAACTGAGAAACCATCTGAGTCTGACTGGCTGATCTTCTTGAAATCTGGTTGGGACTCATGCACTTCTGTGGCTGCCTTGGACCTTACTACAGAAAGTGGTGGCTACATTTGCAACATGCCTTCCACTGCAGACAAGGCCAAGTGGTCAGCAGCAGTCAAAGCTGTGTCTGCGCAGCTAGTGTTGATCAAAGACTTGCTTGAATCTGGCAAAATCAAAGACCAAGAGATCAAGAGTGCTGCCACACAGCTCAAGAAGATTGCCAATGGCAAATGCAAGAAGGCTGGTACCAAGAGCAAACCTGAGTTGCTCTCAGACAGATTCAAGGCATTGAGTGAGTTTCTACTAGAAGTCAAGAAGTTCCGGAGTGGGATCGTCAGCTCACGGATGGGCTCTATTTCGTCTGAGGACATCTCCAAAGGCATGGATAGCCTTACAACGTCATGGCAGAAGTTGGATTCATTGACTTCCAGTGGCCGTTCCGGCACTTGTCTGGGCTCTACTGTGGCGTTGCCAGAGGTGTGGGTGACATCATGGGTGAGTTGCGTGCATGGCCAAGTGTAGTTTTTTGTTTTTTTGTCATAGTTATAAGGTGGTGTTATGTTGATATTGATATAGTGATTATATAATATGTTTATGATATAGTAATGATATTGCAGCTGTTGTTTTGTTGTCACCTTGCTTAGGTTCATCGGTGACATCGGTTCTCAACAAGATGAAAACTGATTTGACTATGGGCTTGGAGGATGCGGATAAAGCTGCAGCAGCAGAGTTGGTTAAACAAGCAGCGCAGGCTATCTTTCTCTTCCCAGATAATCTGGAATCTGGCTCGCCAGAGGAGAACAATGCTTATGGCAAGCCCAGTGATTTCTTCTGGTTCACAAAGTCAGAATTTTCCGAGAATGTGCAGCAGCTGCAACAAAAGTTTCTGGCGTCCGCACTCTCACACATCTTCACCACTAGCCCAAAGGATGACTATCAATGTGAAGCTCATGACTACGCTGCCCTTTTGCTATGCTTTCTCCCCCAGCAAGATGTCATGGCCAAGGCAGTGCTTGATGAACATGTTGAAAAATATCTCGTGATCTTGGGAAATCTCGCAGGCAAGGTGAAGTCAATCACCGGTGGTATGAGTCCAGAAGATGCAGCAACGCTTTCAGATCAGCTGGATCAACTCAAGATTTCAAATGTGGCAAAGGACGCAAAGTTACTCTCTCGATTTCTCATGACACCAGGCTACAAGAAGTTTGCTTTGTTTCTTCAGGCTGAACTGAGCCGATCTCAGCAAGATCAGGCTGCAACACAGCGTGCCGAGACTTTGCAGACTGATGTGTCTGAAGTCAATGCAATCCTGACAGGCCGAACACAGGTGGGGCCGTTCACCTTGATGCGCTTGGTTGATATGGTCAAAACTCTCCAGAAGCTTGTTGAGGGCATCGCTGCTCTTCCTATGGGTGAGAGCTCCCAGCACAAGGAGATCCGCGTAACTGGTCTATCTGTTCGCGATGATTTCGAGGACTGTGACTGTGTGATTGATTGATTGTCGATTGTTATTTTATTTGTTTGGTTATTTGGTGACTGATGATTGTTGTTGGTGATTGTATTACAAAAAAATAGATGATTGCCTTGAGTCAGGAGTTCATCGTGGACCGCTTCACACAGACAGTGGGCAGTTTCCTGCGCACATGGGATGTGATTGGGGCTGAGCTTGTGGATGATGTGATGGCCTTTGCTGATGCTTTTGGCAAGACGGAGAAGATGTTAGAGCTGTGTGCTCCGCTGAAACTGACCACCAAGGACGTGCTCAAGAATGTGGGCTACCTTTGTGAGGCTTTCGCTTTCCAACATCATTCAGAACAGTTCATGCAGGCTCTATCAACACAAGATGTGAGCATATGGACTGACAATGGCCAGCCAGATACACCTCAAGCTGAGCGAGCGCTGCGATTCCAACACTTGTGTTGTGATTATCTGCCAAACTTCAAGCTTTGCGCAGCATGGTCAGCATTCACCAAAGAAGCACAGGACGGCTTCGACAATCTGTTTGGACAATTGCGGAAGCTATCGAGGGATGTGATGTGGAAGCTGCACAACATGGTCGTTGATTTCTATGGCACCTCCAATGACAAACCAAAGGACGGGTGGATGGCATCAGACCCAGGCCTGGAGAAAGCGCATGCCGACGTGAAGAGTGCACTCATGAAACTCCAGGCGCTTTGTCCGGCTGGAGAAGCTCCGTCTTCTGTGATGAAGGTGCTTGAGACATCCATCAAAGAGATTGACAGCATCTTAGACGTGCAGCTCACAGCCGAGGAAAAGAATATGAAGGCAGAGATCTGTGCAGAGATCAAATCTATGCGGTCGCTATTGCCAGCATTGACCTTGGAGGAGTTGATGAATGATCAGTCAGTGGAGTTTTTTTCAGAGCCAAATGGCTAACGCATCTTCAGTGAGCGGTCGTGCTGGACCATTTTTCGAGAGAATTGATGCGTCCAAACCACTTGATCGCTTTGGACAAGAGCTCTGTGGTGAGATCAACCAGTTGTCATCTTTCTTGAAGGTGTTCTTGGCATCGCTGTCTGCTTGTGGCATTCTCAAACAGGCAGATCCTGCCAAAGCTGCATCGTTCGAGGAGACGCGGCTGAAACCCAGAGATTTGTCAATGGACCAGATTCCCAAATGTATCAGGTCCAAGATTGAAGCTCTTGCAAAGAAATAGCGGCGCGTGACACAAGGGTTTGGCTCGTCATGAGGTTGAGGGCCAAATGGACATTTTCAGTTTCAAAGTGTTTGTGATGATCAATTTGTGTTTAGATGTTTTTTCGTAGTTTAGGTTTCGCAGAATGCGAGTGTCGGATGACTTCTTCACCTTCATTCTTCTTATGACAGTTTTGTTCCGTTTTGTTCTGAAACCAGAACTTGTACAGAAATCAGAAATCTGTGATTTCCACAGACCGGTGACCACGGCCGACAGCTGCCTTGCGGGAGGGCGGCAACAGGCACCGGTCATCAGGGTGGAGAGACCACTTTACTCGGGGCCAAAGGCTACGCACTAGCTTACCATCCTTAACGACTTAGCTTGGAGTGAAACTGCTGAGCCTTGCTGGGCTAACTGACTAAGGGCGGTCGAATGAATTTGAACTTTTGTTGCACTGCATTGTTGCACTTCAACTGTGACCAACAAGACCTGCTGGCAGATAACATTGGGTTTGGGCAGGGCCAAGAAGACGGGACACAATATGAAACAACAAGACAAAACAAAACATTCAAGCACTACACAAACAAGAAGCTAAGTGAGCCATAATGACAATAGAATAATGTTATTTTTGAGCCTTTCTACGTGATTCATGAACAACATGGAAGAAGATTGGGACCCACTTGATGCCGGAGACTTGGAGATTAGATTCAATTTTCAAAAATCCTTTTGATCGAGCTTAACGTTGCTGAGGCTGTTCCAAGTGATCCTTTGGATGTGTGGCTCTTAAACAGAGCTGCGTCACAGTGCATAACAAATCTTGACAATGGCTGATGTTCTTAGGTGTTGCCACTATTTCCATTGGGCGCAAGCCGCCCACGAATTGCTCCAGAGCCCGATGTCGGAGTGGCTAGCACTGACTTGGCTGGCACCAACACCGACAGTCACCGTGAGATTTGCCAAAATGCTTGTGATGATGTTGATTTCCTTTCGCAGCTAGACAGAAAGCACTGTGAGCCCTGCGAGCTGTCAAACGCTTTGCAGGCTTCTGAACAGCAGGCGCACTTTGATGTCTTGTGGGCTAGAGTGTTGCGGACAGGTCATTTGTCTGACATCGCACTCTCTGCTTCAATTCAAACCTATGCGGGTGTGCAGGTTGACTTGGACCAAGACTTGAAGACATGGGGTTGGGATGAGTCGTCAGCATCAGAGTTCGGGCGTGAGCCTTTACACGAGATAGGTCTGCTTGCACCTGCAGATGTTGTGACTGGTCGATCATCAGAAGAAACCCATGAAACATGCCTGGGACCGTGCTCAGGGCAGGAACCATGGCTGGAATCAGTTGTAAACATACTGGGGGAAGGCGCGCTCTGCCAAAGGCTTCACGAAGTTAAGGAAGCTCACAGGAGCTCAGGCAGTGACGCGGGCTTGACCTATGGAAGCGATTGTTCAGGGGTTGATGCTCCTGCTGTTGCCCTCAAGAGCTTGATCAAGAGGCTGCAACCTCAGATGGAGGACTTGTTGTTGTTGTTGTTGTTGTTGACAGTTAACGCAATGCTGAAATGAGAAATGAAGGAGATAATAGCAAATGAGCAATGCACCACTTGCCACTAACTAATTTACTACATCTGCTGTGCCATTCACTTGAGCTTCGCAGGAAAGACATGGTGGCGGACTAGCAGTTGATCACAGGTTCTGCAGCGAAGCTCCTGGAAGAGATGGATATTGGCAGAAGTGCATGCTGCTTTGGAATCACAAACCTTCTGTAGTGTATGCGCCCAGACTTAACTTAACATTAGTTGCAGTTTGCCAAAGCTGTGCGCGGGCCCGATCGTCCACATAGTTCATGTCACGCTTGTTCATCCTTCTGTCTGTCAGGCCGTTTATGTTCTTGTGGTCGACCCCGTCGACGCGACTGTTGCTAAGGACGATATGCTTCTAAGGGTCACTGCCTCTGTGGTTTGGGGTGTTTGCAAACACTCTGAATGAAAGTTGAATCAGTTGTATTTATTTTCATGAAATTTGTTTTAATGTTGTTTCCGCTGCCTATCCGCAGGCAAAACACAATGGATGTGGACTAGATTGGTGCACGGGACAGTGGACCAAAGATGCAGTGCAATCGGTTGATATATACACAGGAGGATTTGAATGTCAGGAGCGGTGTGTGTTGTATTTTTTTATATGTGCTAGAAGATCAACAGGACTGTTTGTCAGCGCAATTCTATCTGACTGAACTGACTGCGAGGTGTGTGTGTATATGACTGTGCCAAATGTGATGTGCTTATTTTGAACTGTTGTCGTCGGAGGACTTGTCCAATATGAATCGATATCGCAAGCCATTGGTTGTCGTGAATCCAATGTGTCCAAAAAAGACACATGCCTTGCATGTTTTTTTGTGTGACAGGGTTGAGGTGAAAGCAAAGGGAACAAAACAACAACAGCAATGACTTGACAATCATTCAGATGGAGGAAGAAACAAAATCATAATTAGCTAAGGCAGCGAGCAGCTAGTCCTAGCTCTGTGGCTCAGTCGGAAGATTGCGGCAAGAGCTCCAATACTTTGTCGGCTAGCTTGCATTACATACGGCTGTCGCGCCCCGTCAATACCTCAGGGGCAGAGAGCTTGAAATCTGAGGTGTGTTTTTGAGTTTGGGCCAGTCTGCTGCAGTTGCCATTGCCACAGGCTATTGTTCTGCTTGAGAATGTGGCCAAAGTCGACACCGCCAAGACAGTAGGGGCAGAACTTCGCAATATGAAGTACGTGACCAGGTCGTTCATTTTGAACAGTTCCGCATTCAATCTGCCGCAAAGTCGCACACGTCTTTTTATGGTCGCAGTCAACCCTTGCAAGCTCAACCTTTTATGTCACCCGGACGAGTGGAGCACCAAGCTGGAGGCAAGTTGGTTTTGTCTTTTTTGCGTGAGCGTAGTCAATATGCTATGACAAATGTTCATTCGTTGGTCTGTCAGTCTTCGCGGCGGCAAGTTCTTTCATGTTCTTTCAATCAGTCGTACAATCAAACAACATTTTTGTTTAGTGCCATGCAGGCCATTCAGCAGGACTTGTCACTGGACCAGCACACTGCTTCCTTGTCGGATCAGTTGCTCCCGAATCATCACAACAAGGTCCTTGCATACCTCGCTGAATTACATCAAAAGAAGAATAAGAAGAACGTGACAGCGCAGAGTGACCTTGAACGCCTCAAGACCGGAGATGGTTGGACCGCGTGTTTTGAGCGGGTTCAGGGTGTGCTACGGTATTTGACGCGTGAATTTGGTCGACAGGTTGCTGGTTGGCAGAGTTGTCATGTGTTTTTGTGTCTTGAGTTGTTTTGTGAGTTGGGTCCGGTTGTTTTTTTTTGCATCTTTATTCATACCTTCAGGTTCCTCCTCTAGAGCATTTGCATGAGCGCTACAACAACGCGTGGTCGACGATTCTGACACCCCGTGAGCAAGCCAACCTCTATGTGCACCTTTGGGTGTTACTTGACTTGATCGGGAAACATTCTGCAAGTGGCAGTGATGCACATAGGGGTCAGACGAGCTCACTTGCATTTGTTTATTTTTTCAGGTTGGAGGAGCTTGGGCAACCTATCGCAACGGCTCAATACTTTTGGGATTTGACCAACAATGTGACCTACACTTATTGGAAGCACAAAAGCTATCAGAATTGTTTTCCTTGCTTGCTGCGTGGTCATCGTTTGTGGTCTGTATCCCGTCAGCGTCTGAGCCTCAATTATTCTTGGCTCAGATTCAAAGGCTGTTTGTGAGACAAGCACAACACCTTCAGCACACAGGTGACCACAGGCCACAGGTATGTGTGTGTGTGTGTGTTTTTGTTGGTGTCTCAGGTTTGGTTCTTGGAGAAGAGCTTCTGTACCTCGGCCACGGGTTTCCACGGCTGTCCTTGAGCGGTGAGGTTCACGGAGAAGAGGCAGCAATTCCAGCTTCTTGTTCTAAGTTATTGTTTTCACTGTTTATCCCTTAAGGGGATGAGCCTCGACATGCAGCTTAGCTTGTCACTCAAGGATTTGGAAATTAACAGAATTGCCGGGAATTCCATTTCTGTACCGGTTGTCGGTGCAGTTTTGAGCATGATTCTCTCAAGCGCCTTGGTTGAAGCTGTGTTCAAGGTTCAAGGAGTTCAAAGTGTAAAGGTTTGCTCCCTTCGCCAAGCGAATGAACGTTGAAATTTGTTTTCTGTCTGTCAGGCGTGAAGTTCAAGGCCTCACCTTCAGCCAATGTGAGTCCTTCAGATTTGTCGCAGTGGAACAGTGATGCTGACATGCGAGTGATCCGGATAGGCAGGCTGACCGCAGGTTCCGACAGGTCAAAATATGACACTCTGAAATGTCTCGACCGTCTCGACCTTCCCAAGCGAGCTGACACAATCAGCCGCCTGTTTCGCCAGCCTCATCTCAGATGTCCAAGAGCCGGCGCATTAATACGAAGTCTCCTCCAACGCCGGAGTATCAAATGCCAAAGGCTTCAGCAGCGAAGGCCAAAGCTAAGGCCAGTCAGCGTCAACCGGCTGTACAGAAGACGCAAGCACTGAAAGCCAAACCGGCTGCTTCAAAGGGAACCCTGATGAGTTTCTTAAGCCTCGACAGGGTTGATGAATGAGCCATGACCAGTGATCAGCGTGAAAAATGCAGATTACTGAGAACTGTTTGGAACTTTGAGTGTGACAGAGCGTTTCGGAAGTCAAAAGTCTCATCTGGTATTTGGGACTCGGGAGTATCAGGAGAGCAGTTGACGTTAGAGTTTGTATTATGTGGAGCGTTAAATTTATATAGTTAAAAGATACCAAAACACGTAGTACGTGTGCATTGAAAAGTTTATTTTTTTGTTTTGTAAACTCTAAAAATTATTAGTTTTTGAACTTTTGTAATTTGGTGTAAATATAGTAGTATTAATTTCTAATGTTTTTGCTATAGTTGAAAATCATCCCTATATAAAATCATTGTTTGCTAACATCGTTCAGACACTGGCCCAAACGATCATCCTAAGCTCGGCTCACAAACGTACCCAGACAGGTGGGGCTGGCGTTAGCTTGTTGCAAGTTACCCAAGAAGCCACTACCTTAGTACGATGGAAATCCATCCCACTTGTCCCATGTGCAGATAATGTTATAGCGGAGGCCAAAGCCTGCTTAGCTGCTGTACTCCTCGCCGTTGAATATCACGAGCAATGTCTGGCGCGAGGTATACCACAAAAGGGAATCGTTCTTCAAGGCGACATTCTCCCACTCCTTAACTACCTCCAAGGTAAGGGGCGGGTAAAACGGCCCGAGGTAGTTAGGATACTAGAGGAGTGCCAGAACCTTCTTGCAGGTGCTCCCTTCATCTTCAGGCTGGTATACCTGCCTCGAGAATGCAATAAGCTCGCTGATTACTTTGCAGGACAAGCGAGTGCCAAGGCAAAGGTACATTTTGACCAACCGCTTGCAGTCGCTGCCCACCGTGCACTGCCACCGTACCACCTCGCACAGAAACTCGCGTTTGTTATTGAGAGTGGCCCTTTGCAACCAGCACCCGCCTTCGTTCTCACTGAATGTCCAGCAACGACTACAGAGGGTCGAGTCTAGCCCAAATCATCTCGCAACTGAAATCTCAGGGAAACGCAGTCCAGGACTATCTTGCAGTTGCGAGAAGCTGCGAAGGTACGTTAACTGTAGGGTACAAACCATCCTCAGGTGATGGGCTTGGGCGGTTTTATACAGTTGGGCCAGCAGCGCAACAGCTTCCGCGTAAAGTCCGGTTACTTTTGTTCGGCCACAATCACTGTGAAATTGACATTAGTGGGGCGCATTATGAGCTTGTGAGACGATGCTGTGCCCAGACTGGGGCTCATGGCTCGCTGCCTCCCATCCAAGCCACAAGGGAATGGCTCAAGGCTGTACTAACACCACCTGACCCACAGGCCCTCTCCGACACTTATGAGGGTCTCGTCAAGAAATGGCCACTAGTGATCATCAACAGTGACACCCCGCAAGAAGCCCTCACATTCTTATCTCGCCAATTGCCTCACCTAGCTCAGCCTCTACCACCCGAGATTACTCGGTTTGCCCTTGAGCTACATGCAGCCAGCCGATACGTAATCAATCGTCCGCCTACATGGTGCCCAGCTCGAGAGCGTGATCGAAGCAGGGCTGCACCGTTCCGTTTCTTTGAAACCTTGGAACAACATCTTACCTGGGCTGCCTACAGCTTCCTACAGCCCATAGTTGGCTTCCACTCGGCCATCTGGTTACATGATGGCTTCTGGGCGGCTCCGTGTCCCACAGAGGAGCATCTCGCAGCATTACACCGCTATATCTTACTGACCGCTATAGCCTCTCTCCTCACGACCCACCCCTCTTTCGCTGTGAACTGCTACGGCAAAAGCATGAGGATCTACAGCACGAGCTTGCCGTCCTGCCTGCTCCCTCGCTCAAACGGCGCAAGGTGCAGGGCAACCCCCTTGTCAAGCACCCGCTACCGCCCCAAACTGTGTTCCGCTTAAAGCGATCGTATAAGGCGGACAGTGTACAGGCTCTTTCTTGGCTCCGGGATGGAAGTACCTGAGTCCATCACCGGTGAGGCCAAGAGGACTCGAGCACACCTTTAACGACAGAGAAAAGATGCGCGACAGCAGCTTTGCACTTGTTAGTTGGAGAGCTGGAAACGTTGTTCCACAAAAATGTCCGACAAGAGTGTCCTACAAGAGTGCCCCACAAGAGTGTCCTACAAGAGTGTCCCACAAGAGTGTCCTACAAGACTTTCCCACAAGAGTGCCCCACAAGAGTGTCCTACAAGAGTGTCCCACAAGAGTGTCTTACAAGACTTTCCCACAAGAGTGTCCCACAAGAGTGTTGCGCAAGAGCGTCCGACAAAAGTGTCATATAAGTTATAAGAGTGTCCACAAATATGTCCTACAGGACAAGAGTGCCCCACAAGAGTGTCCCACAAGAGTGTCCTACGAGAGTGTTCCACAAGAGTGTCCTACAAGGTGTTCCACAAGAGTCCGCAAGTGTGTCGCACAAAGGTTTCCCAAAAGAATGTGTGCTACAAGAGCGTCCCACAACAGTATTTCCTACAAGAGTGCTAAAAATTGTTTGGGTGTTTGTTTTCGAGTACGTGTTGGCATTCGGGTTCGTGGGTTCCATCTTGTTCCTTTTCAGATGCAAACCACGAATCTTGCCAAAAATATTGAAGGTTACTGACAGCACCGAGTTCAGCATCTCAACATGTTACTGCAGCGGTGGTTTGCTGATTGCCACACAGAAATGTGAGCCTTTTGGCCCGAAAGCTGCCCAACCCCCCCGGAGGAAATATATTGGTTTTGTTGGAGTCACAATTTAGAAACCAGAATGATTTTTCCAAACCAAACCCACAGAAAAGGTCTGAGTTTTGACAACTGAAAACAAAATGGACTTAGAATGAGAGATCGTCAAACTTGCTGCATTGAGCACGGTAGACAGCACATCCTTGTCTTGCCATGGCAAAAAAACCGACATTGGCACCACAGTCCTCGGAAGACTTCCGGCATCCGACAGTTCCTTGAATATTGTTGACGCATTTCAATCAAGAACGACAATGACTCATGAGACCTCACAACGTGTTTTTTTGACAAGACCTTCAGGTCACTGCTAAAAAAGGTCTTGATGAAGTGGTGTCCTTTACGCTGCTTGGCAAAACATTTGATGTGAACAAACACTTGCGGAACACAGTCCCCGTCATGTCTAGAGCATTCTTGTGAGGCCTTTGAAGGTGGTAGAGGAGCTTCCAACACCTTGGCCCAGATGTTGGGAGCTGATTTTTGGTACACAGCTGTGGCTTTCCATGGTAAATAGCTGACCTGCTTCTGCACTTAGACCAAGAGATTGTGACGCAGCTCGGGGCATCTCGTTCCTAGGCAGCACAAAAACCCTCTTGAAGTTGCCCTTGCTCCAAGAATTGTTGGTTTGGCTGTTGCATGCTAGATTTCTCCAAGACAATAAGTAGAGAACATACGTCGCATGACCATTTGCGTGTGGCGCCGCTGCCAACGGATTTCATAGGAAAAGTGCCAACAAAAGATGATTTGGTTCTGGCTGTGTCCCATGCCTGGTCTCACCAGCTGCATCCAGACCCTTTGGGCATCTCGGCTGCACAAGTTTCTTCTTTCCTTGGCGCAGAGAAAAAGTCGGTGTGAGCATTCTTGATCAGGGAAGAAGGCCGAAACAGTCAAGAAACTCACAACAGAGGCGCAATTTTTTCTTGATTGTCCTAGTGGAATGTAACTAGTGAGGCATTCCATGCGTGTCATACAGAAGTCTTTCAATGCTGCAGGCGTTGAAGGACCACAAGATCTCGGGTGAACCGCTCCTTGCCAAATGACTGTGAACGCAATAGCAATGGCCTACAATCTTGTATATAGCATTATCGTGTTGAGGGGCTGAACCAAGGCTGCTTTTCTATGATTTCATGAGTGCCTTGGAGCGTGTTCCTTCGGGTTTTCGGTTTTCTGTTTGCGTGTCCCTTCGGGTGTCTCTTTGGGTCCAAGGCATGAGCCAGAACCCCTTCGAGCCTGGACAGCCTGAGCGCAGTGCCAAAGAGCAACAAGACTTTCTTCAAGCCATCGCGGCATTGCCAGAAGCAGGGGGTGCCCAGGGGAAGCCAAAAAGATGTCAAAAAGCTCTGCTGCATGACCAAAACATTGCTGCCAGATTTTCTGCTTTTTCCTCAACAATTCCACAACTTTCTGTTGTGGAGAAACTTCAGAACGTGAGACTTGATGAACTCTTCTTAGGTCTTCTTCACAGCAGATGCAGTCTTGCACGTCGATGGAGATTGGCCCGATTTGGAGGTTGAAAGGACTCGTGACTATGCGACCTGGCGGACGCTCTTTAGAGTCCCCACAGGTGTTCCTTGACTTGTTGCCTTTGTAATTGGCCACTGCAGGTCCGATGGTCAGAGCTCTCCGAGCTGAATCTTAAGGAAAATGGCAACAAGGTCATCGGATATACGGAGGTGGAGGCTAAGGACAGACTTGAGCAAATCAATTGGACTTGAGGCAGAGCCAAGGAAAAGTGTTGGGCTACGGCTATTGAAAGGCTTCCCAAATCTCCCAGCCAGGCATGTGTAAATATTCACTGGAGCTTCTCGAAAATGGATCCTACTTTGTAGATGACCTAGGTGCGTTGTACATGGTAAGGTGACAAGAGAATGTGACCTTTTAATTCTGAGACTTCGGTGGCTTGGCTCAAAGCCTCATGCCTTTGTGGTTGACCGATCTGGTCAGCTTCATTTCCTGGGGTTCAGCTACAGGTTGGTTTGGCTTAGGCTGCCCAGCCCATTGCTCCTCGTCTGCAGCCTTTATCCTTGCCTTTTGGGTCTGTGGATTTTGCTGCGGCTGTTTGTGCTCTGGCCTTCTTGCCTGCTGGTGCTTTCTTGGTTTCCCTGCCACTGCGCCACCACTGCCGGTCACCTCCTTCACGCCTCGAGGCGTACTTGCATGAGCGCGGCTACAGGCCTTCTCATTCTGGTTGAGGCTGCCCGAGCTACCGCCCGGGCTCTCCACGGCCTTGCGGAGTCACTTGAGGCTGCTGCCGTCAGGGCTGAGGCCTTCCTGCCATCTCCAGCGCCTTGCGCCGATTGGTCTGGCCCTCCTGGTGCTTCCGCTCCTTGTGAGGTTGGATCAGCTTGGGGTTTTGTGCCGGAGGCGGCTCCAACTACTCCTGTGGCTCGTCCTAGTCAGGCGCCCCTTCTTGGGTCTCCTGGCTCTGTGTCATCTGCCACCTACGGCGAAGTCTACTACAGCTTCCCGGAATTGCCTGAGTATTGCATTGGCCTCTGCGATCGGCTTACTGGCACTCAGGCTTCCATCAAAGCTCGTGCTTATCGCGCTTGGGTTGCTGGCTGCTGGGCAGGGCAACTCTGGAAGGCAGGGTCCAGAAACCAATTAAGGCCTACGCCAAAGTCTCGCCTCCAGAACACCATCTACGTGGTCCTCAGTCAGGGCTCCAAACGTGCCTCGGCCGGTACGTGTGTCTTCTTTTGCTGAGTACTGCAAGCTGCAGCCCTTCGACGATATCTCCGTATCCCACGCCTTTGCTTCCATCTCAGAGGCCGAGGTCTACTGCAAGGCTGCTGGATTTGATCTTCCTGAGGCCAATGAGAGGCGATGCGTGTTCAGGAGCTGATTTTTCTGGATCAGGGCACTTGCAATGTCTATGTTCTGACTTTGGATCTATCTCAGCATGGAGGCAGTATAGTGCGTGGTGTCCCGTACATCAGGCATCATGCTGGCTATTCCTTTGGGTTTCATCCCGGAGCCGATTTTGAACTTGGGGGAGAAAGCATCGCCGGAGGATCTTGTCGGTCCTTCGGCTGTGATCGCAGTCCTTGCAATTTTGGAGGAGGAAGATGGCACAGAGACTCCAGCTGGTTTCGAGTTGGAGGCAGTTGGTGGACTTCCACAAGTCAGTGACGGACATGTTGAGAGGCTTCGAGCCTAATGGATCCCCATTGTTTTTGGGAAGACAAGCCGGAGATCTATCCAGAATCGAGTTCCCTGCTTCTGAGTGCCTGCAACTGGTTGGATGCGCAAAAAGAGGGAAGGATTCAGTTCTACTCGGCCGAAGAGCAGCCTCCTGCTGTCCAGCCAGCTCCGGCCCGTTCATCTCAGAAAGCGAAACAGAAGAATGCCCCTGGTGGAGCTTCGCCGCCAAAGAGAGTGACTACAGTATCCCTTGCCGAGCAGATTGGCGAGCTATCCAAGACTCTCCCTGCTATATCAACCCAGTTGGCCGCAATGCAGGAAAGGCAGGAGAAGGTGGAAAACCTGTTAAAATCAGGCCAAGTCTCTCCAGCCCCAGTGTGCCAGCGTACCGCTAGGCAGCCGTTCCAGGCCACCACGGAGAAGGCTGCCAGCGCCTTGAAGTACATGGTCTGGAGACCCCCGTTGTCAATGACATTCTACTTTCGTCAACATGGAAGATAGAAAAGAGCTGGTTTTGGTCAAGACCTTCTCATATCAACATCCAAGAAGCCCTGGCTGCTGAGAGACTCTACAAGAATGAGGCTGTCCTTCGACCAAAGACCCGTTTCTCGGTCTGTATGGATTGAAATGTCGGGCTGTCAGCTCTGGTCAAAGGCAGATCTCCCTCCATTGGCCTGCGGAAGGCATTGAGAAGATCAGGCGCTACTATCGTAGTTGGTTGCCTCTATCCTTCTTATCACTTTGGACCTACTCGGTTGCTTCCAGCTGACCATCAGCTTCTGGACTTGATGAAGATCCCTGGCCTGAATCGCCTGGCTTCGAACTGGGTCCGCCTTGTCTTGCGTCAGCTTGATGTTTTTCCAGCATGGCTCAGCGCATCGGGAGCAGATTCTTGGAGGTTCAGCCATGTGGATTTCAAGCGTTACCCAATCATCAAGGATGCAGCGGCTTTTCCATTCCTCATGGATTTTGACAGCTCTCTTGGATTTCCTGGCAAAGGTCCTTTGAGCTCCGTCACTTTGGCTCTTGGATTTCATTTTTTCAGAACTGGACAAGCCTCACAAGCTATGTCTCTGCATTCTTGGGCTCATGCCTCTGCTTTCTCCTGTCTTGGATTTCAGCCTTTTGGATTTCTTATGGGTTTCAGCCTGAGAATGTTCTATAATCCTAGTAGCTAAACCCCAAGGTTTAGGCGTCGCAGCCGTCCGCCATGGTCTTGCCATGTTTTGTAGGGATGGAGCCGACCGCGCCCGTGCCGCGAGCAGAGGAGGGCGGCGCAGGCCTCGGATTCGCCGGAGCCTCCAACCGGCTTGGGATTTGGCGTACTCCTGGCTCTGTCAGGGGCCCCCAGTGCACCACTTAGCGCTGCCATGGCAGGCAATGGTCCCCCTCCTCACTACTTCGTGGATGTGGGGATGGAGCAGAGTAGCTGGCGTCATCGCCCTGTGATGGGGCGGTTGAGGCAAGATTTGGTCTTGCCCATTGACGTCGAGTTTTTGCGCAGACTACGCTTTGTTGCAAATCCGGGAACCAAAAGCCCGGTTCAGAAGTGCGAGGCACCAGGTGGCACGAGTTGACCACCCCGAACTCCTCAAGGTGATCGAGGTTGCCTTTGCACACCTGGGCTCAGAGCAGAAGCTGTGGCCGGCTTCAAGTCAGACTATGAGGGCTCGTTTCCAGCGCCTCTTGAAGGCGAGCTCTGTCCCGCAGCGCATTTCAAGGGGCATAGACCTTGGGTTGTTGAGAGCAGGAGGAGCTTCTTGGCTGCTCATGACAAGTGAAAACTCAGAACTGACCCGCCGACGTGGATGGTGGATCAGTACAAAGATGATGGAGATCTACGTCCAGGAGGCTTGGAGTGTTCAGTTCATGCCCCGCCTTCCTGGACCTGTAAAGATGCAGACTTTGAATGGGGTGACCCTTTTCCCATGGGCCCTCGATCTGGTTCAGTTTTGGCGCAAATGCGCTTTCCCGGACACCATATGGCCGGTGATGTTCCACCAAGCAGCAAAGGACTTTGAGCTGAAACACTTGGGTAGGATGGGTGTTGGAAAAGCCGCAAGATGGCTGTGTGTCGACTCCTGCCCAGCATGGAGAAAAGGAGCCGGAGCGTGTCGTTGAATTTTGTGGGCGCCAAAGGTTGAAGATAGCTTGCTTGCTATGAGGTGGAATTCGCTACACTCACTTGTAAACGAAAACATTGCTATTTCGACCTGTGCTACAAAGAAACTATTTATATTGATTCCACCTACCGTCATCTACCTTGAACTTTGCCCCTCAAACTTGAAAGACTTGGCTCCCCACGACTGGCTGGAATCTAACATGCGCATCAAGTTTGAAGAGTGTGGCAACTGGAGGGCGTCGCGTTGTTTCCGGCTTTTCTGGTTTGGATGAGAAAAAGGCATTTTTGCATAGATGTCTCATATGATTCATAGGCAGTCGTTTTGACTTAAACTTTTAGCGTGAGGACGGCACAGTGGCGCAGCTGCCCCTGTACACCATCCAGGGCGATATTTCGGGCGTGTCAAAGGTGAAGAGCATCTCAGATGTGCATGCCATGACCCGAAAAGGCACGACGCTCAGAAGTATGTGAGTCTTGCTTGACACTGATGAGGGGTGCAAGGGAGTTTGTTGGATTCTACCCAACCTGTGTATACTGGGAATGCCACAAATGGGACAGTGCCAGGGGAAACAAAGCATTCCAGTTCAGCGATGAACATACAGGTGTGATGACACACACACAAATCAAATCAAATCAAGAAGTGTACTGACCACTGGCCTTTTAAGTGCAGTTCAAAAGGGGGCTCGCATGGTAGCGGAGCCGTGAGGAACATTTCGCAGATCTGTCCAGTTCTCCGGAGCCTTGAAAGGGGGCAGGACCCTTACCCCCAGTGTAGCGCTCTCGAAAATCAGAGCCTGAGCTTGCCTCCTTGGACTACCAGGTTGCCCTCATTCAGGAAAAGGAGAAGCCTAAGGCAGCTTTGAGTCCTTCAAACGGCAAGGTGTGAAGAGAGATTGAGAAGAGAGGTTGATAGGTCAGGAGTTCTTCCGGGGTTGACTCAAGCCCTCATAGCCACGGCCAACGCGGCTAGCCAGGCAGTGCAGAGAGCAGCTGCAGCCAGAGAAAGAGCGATTGTTCCATCCTGCAGACAGGGCTGGTGGAGTTGACCAAGAACGCTTCCAGTTCGACAACCACTGTGGAACTGCCAGCCACAAGCCCGGAACCGCACTATGAATCTGCTCCCCCCAAAATGGCGTACCCCAAATTCAACATGAAACTGTCCATCCTGCCTCAGTTGTTGAAGCTTGAGGAACACTTCACCCAGTATGAGCGCCTGCGATGAAAGCGACCTCAGGACATGAGAGCCAGTGTTGTTGAAGGCCAACTCAAAACCTTTGAAAGTACACCCCAGCATGACACTGAATGAAGGCAGCTCTTAAGGAGGCAGCTTTGGCCTTTGACGCGGCCAAAGCAAAAAATAGAATGAGTCGGCAGCCTTGAGAATTTCCATTATGTGCCCAATGACGACTACCGCGCAGGATGCCCGAGGGCCAGCCCCCATGGCGGTTGACCGGATTTAGAAGGGTCACCAGAGCAAGGGCAAACGAAAGACGAAGGACAGTAAAGGGGGCAAGGGCAAGTCTAAGGCTGACAAAGGCAAAGGAAGGGCAAAGGAGGAAGATCAGCTCAGGAGGCAAAGGAGATGGCAAAGGCAAGAGTTGAAAGGAGAAAGGAAAGGGCAAGAATTCGAATGAAGTTTGCTAGGCGCGTGGGCACCCAGGTCACCAAGCGCGAGATTGTTGAGGTGCAATGGGTACACGCTCTATGCTCTCTCGCGTCATAGAAGCTGCGGCGTTCAGCGCAATCTCGATCATAGTGATATGCGCCGCCAGTTCGGGTGACGTGGACGGGTTGGTGGTTCAGCTCGTCGAGGAAGGCAAGAATCCGCTGTTAATAACTGATGTTTCTCCCAGCGAACTTCTCTCAAGACTCGTGCTTGGTCGTGGTAGGTTGTTTCGATGAGTCTCGATCTTGTCATACTCTTCTTTGAGGCCGATTGAATCCTTCAATCAAAGCTTGACGGTCATGGACCGCAATCTCATGTTTTCGTTGTAATTCACGATGGGCAGCTCCGGCTTCACGGTTTTGCAGATGGAAGTTAGTGTGGCACCTTCAAAAGCCGTGTGATGTCATTCCAGCTTGCGGGGGGCAAAAGGAAACGCTGTTGCACTGTTGCCAACAGCCTCACGCCATTTAGCCAACAAAGCACCTGCAGTGCAGGGAGGAAGCGTGAGCTCGCTCATGTAGGTTGGCGCCAATCTTGCGCAGGATCAGCGTAGAAGGACCCGAGTGAGTTCCCTCGACTTTGCCTACACACATGCAAGAGGCATTGGACCAGTGGCCGCATCTGAGACAGAACATCAAGCCCAGGCAGTGCCCGAAGACCCACTCAAGCGGATAGATGATTTGGCAGATTCGGTGGAGAAAGCAAGGTTGCAGAGGATGGGAACGTTGAAACTGATCGCCAGGTGTTTTCCAGAAAGGTCGGGCCAGGAAAGGATGTAAAGGAATGGTGAGGTGCGCTCAAAAGCCTTACAGGTCAGGAATTGAGATTTGGGCAGTTTAGACGTGAAAGATGCGCCCCTCCATGTGGATCAGGGTGTTCCTACACAAGTGACGACACCAACCGGCGCTTTAAGAACTTGCCTGGCCAGAGGATCGGTGCAAGAGCTTTTTTTCAATCCGTCGCCAGGCGGCTTGAGGAGAGAGAAAGAAAGCTGGTCTTGGGAAAGCGTTCCAGTGAAATGATGCCCTCAATCCAGGTTGATGACACCAAGAGGTCAATATTTGGAGAAGACTTTGCTAGAGAGCGCTTGGAGAGGACAGCGAGATGTGAGTTCGGCCAGGAGACTTTAGAGTTGCCTACACAGATCTCTAGTTTGTCTAGAGTCTAGGCCATCTTGCATCTGGCGACCGGAAAAAACTGGCAAAGATGAAGGGAATCGTGGGCCAATGAGATGCTCGAAGCAGGCCGTGGATTAGTGACGTGTTGATGTGATTCAAGATGGGTGTTAGAGACGTTTTCGAAGAGCGATTGGACAGGCTCTAAGAGCCGTAGAAGTTCGACGTTTGCTGCGATCCATCGAGAGGCCAGAAGTCATTGAGCTTGACTTCAGCAGAAGCCGAGTGCACGGGTGGCTGCTGCTGCAGACAGGATCTATCTGAGAAGGTGCCTGGAATTCTTGACAGAGGATGTCATTTTTGGTTGAGAATTCTGGCCCTTCACCTATGTCATTGCAAGGGGCCAGGCAAGCTTTGGGGTATTGCTCAGGATGAGCTCAAAAGTCAAGTCCGGGAGAGGTCAACGGGTTGGCCATATTGTTCAACACTCTTGTTGGAGGGCCCTGAGCACATGGCGGGCGAGAAGCTCCAAAAAGAAGGCGTGTGCGTGGCTGAGGACAGGAGTCCATGTTACTTTGCTCATTTGGTGTTCTTCGTGGTGTTCTTGGTGTATTGGTGGTTGAGCAGCTCACAAAAGTTGAGCAGCATAGATCCAAAAACCTAAGGATGATACGAGAGTGGACGGTGTAGAACGAGAGGCGGGCAGAAGATGCAGTATGAGCAGTTGAAGCTATATGCGCACAGGCTTCACGGAGGTCTCGTCCCATTGGGACTATTTGCAAGGCCCCAACTGGAACTATGACATGCAGTGCTGCAGAACTTGAAGTCACAGGCAAAGGGTTACCTGTTACCTCACTGAGGTGTGCAAAGAAGAGCAGGCAGAAGAGGAGATCGATCTCGGGAATGCCTTTCCGAGACAGTGAGGAAGGAGGAGACGGAGAAGAGTTTCGTAAAGGATTCTACAAATTGAGACTGAAGAAGCACGAGGAGGCTTTGGAGGGAGGCTTGGATGCACCACCCGCCTCAAGGAAGGTGGAATATTTGTGGACAAATTGATTTGCACCGAACTTCAGAGGCCCAAGGAGAACAAAGCGTTCCAGTGCAGCCATGAACGTGCAGGTGTGATGGTTGAGTTGATGGAGACTTTTGATGGAGACTCCTTTTGGGGAGGTCTTGAGCACACAAACCTCTCTGAAAGACCAAGGCCATAGCCTCTTTAGCTTCGGGCGCTGCTGTGGAGAAGCGAAAGAAGTAGATGCTTTGCTGCTCAACAAAGATGGTGTCAAGCAGAAAAGCAACTTGATCATCATCACTTCTTTGTTTTCCATTATGCCACAGGTTCATGGTGCAGCCATCTCCATTGGGTGTTCGAAACGCAGTCCCAGCCGGTGAGCGAGGCTGGCTTTGTCGTGTTGCCAAAACATGTCGAGTGTGACCTGGGAAACGACGCAGTGTAGCGTGGCTTTGTTCAAAAGCTTCTGGAACTTGGAGCTCGCATAGACATGAAGGCCTGGGCTTGAAGACACAACGCTGCAACCTTGTGGGGAAGAAGGGCAATCTGCCCAAGAAGTTGTAGAGAGCTTATATAACGTATCTTATTTGAAAACAATTTGGGTGACTAATCCATTCAATTGCCCATGGAAGAAGGAAAGTTTAGCGTTGGCGTTCGGAAGGTTTCCGTGCGATTGAATATCCAAACCAAAAGCCGCTGGACACCAACGAGTCGTGTGGGGTGTGTGTGTGGGTGTCCGGTGCTCTCACGATATACGCATATTTTTAAAAGGATCTACATCTGACATGCTCCAGCAAAGGTTTGTTTGTTTGCAGGATGGATCTACTTCGAGCGCTTGGTCTCCACGATCCGGGTGGCGCTTACTGATGAACAGTATGCCGTCCCTCGCTCAGGGCCAAAATTGACATTTTCATTCCTTTGATGTTTCACAATGTGACTGCATGTGAAGCGCAGCCCGTCGATTGCAAACGAGGGAACGTTGTTGGGTTCCAGGCGCGAACGGTTTATGCCAATGTACCAGAGCTGAAGGAGTGACTTTGGCGGCATTCGTGTTTTTATAAGCGGGGCTATGTAAATATACCTTACCCCTCCCACCCCCCGTGGCACAAGGCTTATCACAAGGCTCCTGTAGCCTCAACTTGAGACAAGGTTTTAATGTGGTGCTCGTACCAACGAAATTGTAAACTTATATTAGGAAAAGGTTTCTACCGTGAGAAAAGGTTCTTTGTGAAAGAATGCAAGGCTCTTGATATAACAAAAGTTATACGCTTAGCACATAAGAGGCACCTCATCGTAATGTGAGTCCGATTTGATCATAGTGGTTCCGGTCTCCTCAGGTTGCCAGTAGAATTGCATATTATAGACAGAACAGTTATTATTATGTGATGCTTGGCAATTACAGGGAGAAACCTTATGCTATAATGACACTTGTTGTTGCAACAGAATTTGATCTGGCTTTTGTTTGTGCGTCATGCTGTGCTTTTTGTCTTCTAACATCATCACCGCGCTTGCTCACCAGACAGGAGAAGGATACCATAATACATTGCTATGAAGTCAACTTGAAAATGCGCAAGATTTCAACATCATAAACTTAACACAAACATTTGGAAGCCCGCGGCTCAGATGGTTGCATACAATTCCTCAACACATATCTGTACACTGCTGTAATACTTGACCTTAACAAAACTGTAGCCTGCGATTACACTTATGTATGTATATATATATACACATAGCTGCTTCCATGCAAAGAGACCAGCCCAGATTTGGGTATAAGGACTGACTTGAAGATTGACCTTTCCCAAGTTAAAAGGCATAACAGAAGAGAACGACCCACTTGCCCATAATCACTAACCCTACTATAGAGACATCTGGTACACACCTGCTTCTAAAAACATGTTGCCTGTTTAGCATGAAGCCACCATCTGTTTTCTAATGTCGGAAATACGCGCATCAAATACTGACGCAAGTGAGTCTGGCATTGTGTCATCAATGGAGCTGACAAAGTAAATGTTTCATCAACATACAGTGGGCACATCGCCGATTAAAACATCCCCAAGTGCCAGCCAGGCGAGTTCAAACAGTGCCACGCTCTGGAACATCGATTCATACCGCTCAAAACGTAATGGAAAGATTTAGACCCCGTCACACCAATTGCTGGCTTGTCAGAGTTCTGTTCGGTATTGTAGTCTTCCTCTATGTTGATGCTAGACCGGCTAGGCTTGTTGTACACTGTATTGCTTGCAACAGAAGCCTTGATATAGCTTCTCAAACCCAACTGTGAAGATCCCGGTACTTGCCTCAACCGGACATCAGTCGAGGGCAGGGAGTTCTTCCACCTCTCAGGTGAACAGAGGCCGCCAGCCATCAAAAGCTAGAGAATAGTTTGCCCCCATAGAATTGTCCTATCAAACATCCCACATTGTCCTATCAATACGGTTTTCGAAGATTTTGATGGGGCCGGTGGCTGGCCACCGGCCACTTTTCAGGGCGATTTTGGTGCGGGCCAAGAAGCTCCGCGAGAGTGCTACAAAGGGCAACGAGGAACTGACAGAGCCTTCGGCGAGGTAGCTTGAGGTATTCTGGTGTTTGTGGCAGGGTAGCTTGAGGACTGCAGGCTCAACGCAATTTGCTCACTTTTGCGCACCTTGTCCTTGCTGCATTTTTCTAGACTTCCGAGGAGCAATTCCAGAAGTACACAGCCGAGATCTACGAAAAGACTTTCTCAGCAACATCACTGGACAAAAAGAAGGCTTCCGCCATTAGCAAGGTAAAGGACATCGGTTTGCATGACACAATTGTGAACACTATTAACAAAAAGGACTAGACCGGAAAAGACTAGACTTGCTTCGCCTATGAACCTTGCGTGTTTCTTTTCCGATGAGGATGTTGACCTGGTCGCTTCGTTGCTTGATAATCTGCGGGAACGAGTTTCGCTCGCTTTGGCCATGACTGTACGCAACTTGTCGTTGGCAGAGTGCACCTCTTTCCTGGAAATGAGACTTGGACGGCTTGAGTCTAGAGCTGCGTTTGACTTCAATGGTTAGAGCCAGGCGTTAAATCTCAATCCAAAAACAAGACGTTGAGCTGAGATGTGAGGAAAGCTGATCTCACCATTCAAGATGGTCGAGGTTACACGCCCCTGCACAATGCTACTAGGCGACGGACGTAGTGTGAAATGAGAGAGTGAGGAGCATGAAGAGAAGAAGGTTCTCCTTGCAAAGGAGAAGAGGTCTGAGTATTTTATAACACCTTGCTCTCCAAAACTCGCAACAACATGGAATGACTTCCAACTTTGACACATGGCTGCACCTGCGTTCCTGCAGGTGGCGAAATGTTGAAGTTGTGAATTTGCTTCTGCAGCATGGATCTTCCGCTGGAGCCTGGGCACAAAAAGTTATGAATGCATGAATGTGGGAATGCATGAATGCAGGAAAGAAGGAAGGAAGGAAGGACGCAAGGAAGGAAGGAAGGAACGAACGAACGAACGAAGGGTTGGCCATCCCTACTCATGTTCAGCCTGCTTTTTGGACTTGTTTGTTTTGTTTTTGCGTTTTCTCCCTGGCTCACTCCGTTCGTTTTGCCTTGTTTTCTATTCTTGATTTCATTCTTGGGGAAGATGCACTCTTTATTTGAGTGTGGTATCAAGCCTATACAGACTCCCAAATAGATAGAAGAGTAAATCCTCAATAAACATGTAGAGGAAATGATTTCTATTTATTTGGGGACCACTATGTTGGATACCAATTGTAGCTTCTGGCAAACCAAGTGTGTGTTTGGCAAATCTTTTGCCGCTTTTCTAAGGACAGCGTGACAAGCTCGGAAACACAGCAGCCCACGTCATTCCCCTTTATGCAGATGAGACAACTTTGCAATTGCTTCAAGCTCTTGCCTCTGATGACATATATCTTCGAAAACTGAGCCTCAGTTGCAAAGGACCCGGAGTAGGCTGCCAGCGCGTAGTGTTCTTTTTGAAAGTCAAAGTGCATTTCCCAAAGTCACTAGTTCGAGAAGTTGCATGGCGCTAAGGAATCGGGTGGCTTGGATTTGTGCACCTTTGTGAGGGTTCTTTATTGTACGAGAGTCGACTGAACGACAGTTTGTGTAGTACTGTCACATAGCTTTGCATCTTCCAACATACATCCCAAGTTGTTTTTCATGTCTGGAAGCTTGCCCTGGAACCCAGCAGCTGTGTGTGCGCGTTTTTGTACATTGAGAGGGTATACCTTCTACACACTTACTCCGTATTCACACACGACTAGGGTTGGAGGCCATCGCTAGGCATTCTTTTACATGTCATAAAATGCACTGTGAAGTTCAGAAATGACACTTGAATCGTCCGGTGGAGCTCAGGCTGGGCTGCGGGTCCTGGATCGCATGGAAGTTTGGGCGCTTACTGCAGTGAATGGTGGGCCATATAAGCCAATCCTAAACTGGCTCACACAGATGCTGGTTGGACAAAGCAAAATGTTTGGATGGCTGAATGACTTTTCTCGTGCTCTTGTTTGTTGGGTGGAGTGACTTTGAGCTAAGGAAGAAAGAAGAGCATGCATCTTTGGTCGGAGATGTAACAACAAAAAAGAGCGACATGGTGGCATTGATGCATGTGAGACACTGCGCAAGATTGTCAGAGTTGATTCCTCTGAGGTGCTCGGAGACATGGCCGGTTTGATGTGAGGTCATCAACATCCATATTGAAAGTTGGTGAAGAGGAACGCAAAGTGCAACATATTGAGCCAGCTTTCCAAGCACTAGGCCGAATTCTCTACCTGGGGTTCCCGCGCTTTATTCCATGGTCTTTGCAAGCCCCGGCTCTTCAGAGTTGGGCAGCTGCTGAGGGCTTTGATATTTGGGCGATTACGGAGGATTCTGTGAAGCCAGGCTTGTTGAAGGA